ACTTCAGATAGTGAATATTTTCTTTCCAGTTACTCGTCTGTATTTTGTGGGCCTCCTCGCGAGTTGCAGTATATGGATTGCAGAGTTTTCCTGGGGAGAGACTTTTCTAGATGGTTTCGTATTTAGTGTCCACAAATACTGCAGTAATGAGCACATGCATAATATTTGCATCGTAGATTTTGAGGCAGATTACATGAGGCTTTCGTATATACCCAGTATGAACAAATAACACAAAGGTGGTTCAGGAACGTATAGTTTCACTCTCATCTCTGCAAATATAGGGGATAATTCTGCCTGATTTGGAAAAACAGTTCCTTTCCATATGATGTTCAACAGCGGATGAGAAAATTTCCGTTTCACGTGACAAAATTTCTGGTCCCAAATCTGCACACAGAAATCACTCCCTACGAAAGTAAAAGACTGGGCAGGCGATGCAAAATGCCGCCAATAAAAAGTAGGGGCGCCATTGGTACACTAAGAGAAAACACCATAGGTGTCCGGGGCCCAAAACTGTTCAACAGCCTCCCATCAAGCATTAGGGGAATTGCCAATAAACCCCTGGCTGCCTTCAAGAGAGAGCTGGACAGATACCTAAAGTCGGTGCCGGATCAGCCGGGCTGTGGCTCGTACGTCGGACTGCGTGCGGCCACGTAACAGCCTAGTTGATCAGGCCCTGATCCATCGGGAGGCCTGGTCGTGGACCGGGCCGCGGGGGCGTTGATCCCCGGAATAACCTCCAGGTAACCTCCAGGTATGTTTCAGCAGCCGTCGACCCAAATAGCGTACCGCTGACAACACTGAAGATAAACGTTGCTAAACGTTGCCGAGGAAGCTTTCATTGGGGCAACGTTTATCTACGCTGATGTTTTAATCATAAGCAAATGCGTTATTGACCACATGACGGAGTTTTATGGACACTATTTGTATCTCCACCTGATGGTCAAGACCATTTTTTTATCATATATATATACACGTTGAATTGGTTTGATTGTAATTCTGATGTTAGATATACTTGAATTTCGACTCATAACCTTCTTTGTGTCGACAGCTTGTCACTTATAGTTAGTGAGGTATCCTGATTTTTATTGAAATTATGTCCATTGATCGATTGTCACTAAGGTGATTTTTTTCAGTGGCTCACCAGCAATACCTGTCGGCGGTGTTGACCTACTATAAGTCACTGTCACCCTCGATACGTGTAACGTTACAAAATCAAGAATTTTTTCCTTGAGTTGTATTTTACAATTGTGTTACGGTGATGTTTTACCATTAAACAAGGGTACTTCTATCACTCAAGCAGTAAATATCTAGTCTGAGCTGGAATGGAACTACACATCAGAGCAAAATTGATCTCTCTGTCTCTACCCCCCCCCCATCCCTCCAAGTCAGTCGTCAGTGTAAGTGTCAAAGGTCACGCACCAGACCTCGCTACACTCTCCTTAGTGAATGATATTGTGATACTGAGATGTGGAAAAAGACATTTATGTATAATCAAGGATATTTTTTAAAGTAAACGTTTCGCCACGACTGATTTCTTCAGTCTTTTTCAGAATTGAAGAAATCACTTACGGCTGTGCATAAGTGTTTTTTTCCCACATTTTTAGTTGTTTGTGCCACACCCCTACTTATTGCTTAGTGTAAAATTTTGGAAGTTTAGATGGTGGAACAAATGAGGATACCTGGTGTTCGCACCGCCCAAATGCTAAACATGGGGAAAAAGAACTTTATATTCAAACATCAGAGATCGTTTTATTAAAAGAAATATTCTCGTAGTTTTAAATAGTTCAGGCAAATCAAACCAAACCCCCTTGCCGTAGCCTCCAAATTTCTTCGTATGTGAGACTCAGATGGCCCATAAAAAACTGGAACGCCCTTCCGAATGAATCAGATACATAAAATATGTAAAGAAAGAAAAGAACGACATTCCCGCTCATGGGAAAAGCTACCTCTTCCCCAAAAGCCCATCCCCTTTCCCCCCCCAAAAAACTTTAATCACAACCAAAGTTTTGTCATGAAAACCAAGCTTTTGCCTTAGTCAAACAAATTTCTTTCAAAAATTTAGTATATTGCTGGTTTGTTCAACCTAATGAGCAATGGTAAACATGTCAACAGTTTTAAAACCATTAAAAAAATTACGAATGTCCAAAAAAAATTACGCACTGTTCCTAAAAAATGTTTATTTTTATTTTGTATTTAAGTGTGCCATGTATCTTTAAAGGGTTTTTTTTCCGTAATTATAAATTTTTTTATGTCATCCCATAACGTTTTAGCTCCCTGAAAGTTAGCTGTCATAGTTTGTGTCAGAAACCCGATGGGGTGATGGGCTGTATACGGTGGCGTAGGGACACCTCTGGACGCTTTTTACATTGCCTTCAGATGCAAAAGAAATGATGAATTGGCGAGGGGAAAGTCTTCAAAGGGGATTTTCAGTTTTAGGTGTCAACTGTAGTCTAAGGACGGGCAATACGAAAAAAAAACTTTAAAAAGGGAAATTCATTGATCAAGATTAAGAGACTGCACTAGTCGTCGTCTTTATTTTCTATCATGCAGGAGCCAATGTTGATAGGGAAATCCCAAAAGATCGCTGTCACTACTCCAGGCTTCGGTGGGCTCGAGTATCTTGGGAGGTATCAGATCACCAGCGGTAGGGCCCCAAAATGTAACTTTTTCCCGATGGGTGTTATCAAAACCCCGCGTATTATGTGTGGAATGCGTAAGATTAAGATCAGAGGGGCAAATCCAAGTGTTCAGAAATGTCAAGTTTTATCCATTTGGCATATTTAAACCATTTTGGGAAAATACCGACTTTTTCTACGTAAAAGACTCACAACTAAAACGTGTTTAAAAATTTAACCATGTCTTATTAAATATAAGGCAGAAATCTTTCAAAATCATATATAAATTTCCCCCAATATTTTGGAAATGAATTATGTCTACATAAATTGAGGTGCTATGAAAAAATTCCCGGTTTCTGAAAAATAAGTATCCTAATCACCCACTTGAAAATGTTCACTGAAAAGTACTCTCATTGGAAGGGGCTTTTTAC